GTACCGAGTATTCCTGAAGTTGACGTAAATTATCGATTAACGCGTCATTATTATGTATGAATAATAACTATGATACATGTATTTGATGACAAATAATAATAAATTGTTATTGTTCGATTATTTTTTGAAGGAAGGCCAATCAAAACTACACAGAAAACTTTACATACTTAAAATGTTTAGTATTATTTTGGCATGCAATAAAATATTTTGATCTTGTTTCCTTTGTACACCTTGTCGTTGTTTATGATTTTTATTTATCTATTTTTAATTAAACCAACAATTTTGTAATTGCCCAACTTGACTCATATGCATGCAATAGTAAGCTAGCTATGTATTATATTATTGTATAATTTATAGTAATATAATATCTAATATTAATACCTACCTACATAGCTATATATAAATATAAATATCTACATAGGTTATGATCGAATAAGGTGCATAACAATTTTTTTACCTAAAAAAATATATCACGTTAAATTACATTCGTCTTCTATTTAGATTCAAAGTTGAGCAAGGAATGTGTTGATTTAAGACTGATATTTATTTATTTATTTATTTATTTATTTTTTATCTGTGAACAACTTTTTACCAGAAATCTTGCTCCAATTTACAATGGTAGTACTTTTTCTAGTAAGAAGTGTCACTGGAGAGGTACTTTAGAGAAGTTTTTTTTTATCTTTCCAGGAGTTTTCCCAATAAATTGGAAAACCCAGGAAAAAATGCGGGAAACCGGTATAAACGTAGGAAAACTGGAAAATAAGTACAATATTAAACAAATATTACTAAAGAAAATATATAATACATACGTAATTATTTTACAATGATATGATGTATATATATTATTGACAAAGCAACACTATCAATCGAACTTCGCTCAGAATCGTTTTTTGTTAGCAATGGTTTATCATTGCTTACTGATATACATTCGATTTTCCGACTACTACCTTTCAAAATTTTTACCATTGATTGTGGTTGTACCCGTCTCCATTATCCTAGGACAGCTTTTTTTTACTATTAAGTAAGACAAACAATGATCAATTTTAAATCAAAGTTTTGAGCATTTTCCGGGGTTAAAAAATTTGTTTAAAAAACATGTATAAAGTATAACCGAACTTTGCTCCAAATCGTTTTTCGTTATCAATGATTTATCGTTGTTTACAGATATAGAATGTAAATTAAATAACTTTATGTATCCCACCTTCCCCACTGCCCACCACAACAGTAACCACATCCATCCACGGTATCAGCTCTTTTTTTTTAAATTTTACGAATATTAGAAAAATAGATTACTTGTCTTTTTAAAAAAACCTCATTCAGTTTAATGTATACAGAGTGTAACAGAACTAATTGACATTTTTACATTAGTATTATTAAATTTTTACATTTTAGTTACAAAATTACATATAATAATGTCAAACAGTCTAGTTACATTAGTTACATCTTATAAATTTTGTATAAAATGCATGAAGTGAATAAACTGTTTACCTATCATGATGTTCAATCCTAATAACTAATAGCTAATGAGTAATGAATAATGTCATTTAAAAAGGCAATAATTTATTTTAGAAGTGAATAATGAATTATGCAATGGATGTAAGAATAGAAAACCATCTCTCTATATTAATATTACATTAATTTCATAAATTACTCTTATTTGTTAGTTCCATATTAATTGCTTCTTATTCCAGTTTTTTTTTCATGTTTAAATAAGAAATTGTCCAGACAGTGGCTAGAAATTAATAATATTCGATGCAACATAATTTACATATTATATTAATTAGTTAACTATTTGATATTTAGGAATCTAATCCACTGAAAATCATATAAGATAATAGAATGATACAACTAGATTTTTTATTGTTTGTACTCCAATGACTTATTTCAATGATATTTAATTAAACATGCTTAGATTGCATTAAGATTATGGTATGGGAAGATATCATTTCATAACTAATATTTTTATGATTAATATTGTATTCCAATAATTAAATTAAATTAAAATTGAATATATTTAATATTACTAAAACCATTAATAATAATTTATAATCAATGCTATAAATATGTTAATAATTATTTTACCTTGATTTTTATTATAGATGCTAAAACTAATTTTTAGGTATTTCAGCACGTGGACAATTATTTAGAGTGCTCTCCCAGTGATTCTCAGATCTGAGAAAACCTCAACATTTTGAACATAAAAAACTGTAATGGGTTCTCCTAACCTTTATTATATAGGCAACTAAAGCATTTAATTGTACTCATAAGTAGATATCTACAAGGGGCAACCACATCTGTTAATGGTTTTGTGATTTGATTGTAAACGTTCAAAATATTGACGTAATTATAAATTCAAAATTTTGCAATTAAAGATTTTTTCGTTAAACGGAATGTTTGTTCTAAATATTGACTATGATTAATTTAAAATTATTGATTTTTGAAATTTTGTCGTTCCTTAATATTAGGTATTGGTTTTATCAAAATGTTAACTAATTTATTTTTTTCAAATTTCTGGGTTTAAAATAATTATCGGTTTGATGATCAAATAATGTCCACAGATTTATTTTGCTTTAAGTTATGCAAAAATTATAATATTTTACATCACATAATAAAAATAAAAATACAAACGAATAAGGTACGCATTTTAATTAAAAATAGAATGTATGATTAGTTATAAAATAAATATTGAAGGAAACTTAGTTCCTCAGAACGTAAAATGAATCGAGCATGGCCCCTATCATTACTCATTGTCACTTAATTATAAATTCCACTAATTTCAGAATAAAAGAAAGAAAAACGATCGTTTTTCTCTCTGATATGTTTGCAATAAAACCTATTTACGTGTGTTATTAACACGATTAAAAATAAACATGTTGCACGACATTCTATGATTAATAGTGTTTTGTAGTGACTTATAAAATGAGTTCCTGGTGTCAAAATATTATAAATATTAAATACAAAACGTAATTAAATATTTGATCATCTTAACTATTATGAAATTATGCCTCACTTTTTACTAATTTATAATTTAAATGAGCTTCTGGTTTGAATTAATAATAGTTTTATATTTTGGATGTTTTATTTCGTTTGTAATTTTTAGATTCTGAGGAAAGCTTATGATTTTACAAAGATTTTTTTTTTATATTTTATTTTTTTTTTGTCTGTACGAAACTCTTCTACCAGAAATCTTACTCCGATTTTTACACCTTTTCTGAAAGTAAATCGGTATAGGGAGATACTTTAAGGAGGTCAATTTTCGATAATATTTTTATGTAAAAAAAATTTATTTCAGTTTTATTAAATTTGTAAAAAGAATGTTTACTAAGGTAAGACATCTTGAAATAAAAACAATTATGTTTAGTACACTCTGTGGCGTATACAAGGGGGGGACGTGAAGGTCAGATCCCCCATTGGCTTTTTTGTTTGTTTTTGATTAGATTATGTGGTAGGTATTTTCTATAATGTAATATTTTGTCATATTTCACATGATCTATCGAGCTATTGAATTTTGTCAATACTGAATAGATACCATTAGGATATTTTATTTTTATTTATTTGTACCATTGTAATGTTTATTTGGTCTAAATGGTCGATGGCGACTATGATTATTACTTCATTATAACTTATCTTATTATTTATAGAGACAATACTGTATATGTGTGTATTATATATGTATGTATGTAAAATCGACTAAATGGGCAATGCTTCCTCTGTGTGTCTGTGTTTAAAATGTTATCGGATATTATCGTTGTAATTAAATTCTGAGAATATGAGATCATTATCGCTATGGGTTCAGTTTATCGCGTATACACATCAATCTGAAATCTAAAAAAAGAAACACTCACGGGATTTTTGATAATTTATTGCATCTATAATGGAGAAACGTAGATCATAATTTTATTGTACCTGCATTTAGAAAAACGGCAGAACAGACTGTGGTGCAGTCAGTAAAATATTTCGATTATTGATTATAACGATTTAATTATAATATCTATTGCGTGATTATAACCATGATCTACAATAAATTCAAACCCTGTATCTGACTACACCCGATAGTAAATAAAAATAATAATGTTATAAACAATAAAGTTGGTAACCGTAACACTGTTATAAGTTATATGTTATATACTACTCAAATATGAGTAATAAAAGAAAAAATAATACTCTCCTCATATAGCAGTTTCTAGGAATATTTCAATTACAGCAGAAATTTTAGATAAACTAGCAAATAAAAAAAAAAAATGAAAACTAGATTTAACAAATCTAATTATTATGTATTTTATTTATACATTTAATGATGTAGCATTTTATAATAAAGAAGTTTTTACTTTATGGAGTATTGGAGTAGATAATCTTCCATATTGTGTTTGATATGCATTTTGAATTAATTAAAATTATATTCATTGTTTTATTTATTGTTAAATATTTGACTACCTAAGTAAAAAGTTTTGAGAAGGTGAGAGATTTTCCAATTTTCCCCTCCCATTTAGCTATGTCGTTTTCTTTTTTTGATTCCCCCTTTTCAGATATCATGTCTACGCCACTGAATAGGCACACTCGTTTCTTCTGTTATCATTTTTTTAAATGTAAAAATCAATGTAAAAAATCTAGAAAAAAAAAATGTTATAAAACATAATTAATTATTATTAATAAGTGTACAAGTGTAAAACGAAATGGAGCAGGGGCAGATTTGATGGTGGGACGACGAAGCGATTCCCCCCCTTCTTGGAATTTTTTTTCTCACTTCCACCATTGGCTTAGGGCCAGGTGTACAGTATGTGATTAAATTATAACCAATGATTAAAAGTACACATCAGACAAATTCCAAATATTTGGAGGCCTGCAGCTAATTTGACGCCCATGTGGTTAGGAAATTAATTTTGAATAAATACAATATCCAATTACAGATAATACTAAATGCATATACATATATATGTATTCAGTAGGTGTATCCAATTGATTTTTATCATATTATCTTAGAATTTTAAATAATATTAGTTATGCCGTCCTCTGTATCCAAAAGACATTTTTATCACGGTAAAAAAAGCATTGGTGATTGTGTATATTGGTAAAATTAGTAACCACCAATTTATAGGTATTCAATATTATCAATAATGCTACTTAGTTATGTTGTTTACGCCATTTAAACTACTAATAATGCAAAAATCAACCATTTCAAATGAACTTTTTTTTTATAGTCGCTTACACTTTTTATCATTGATAAAGCTGATTTTTTGATATTAAAAAGTTAATTTGACCAAAAGTGTCGCTTATGCCCTTTTGCCTATTAAGGCTCGATATCATATGGCTAACTAATAATCATATACTTTAATGCTATAAATACATGCTACAAGTAAATCTCTTTTGGGCTTATTGCTTTCTTTATTAAATTAAAAACATGGATACGATCACGCATGGGGCAAAGTAGATTGGCTGGCTTGGCATTACTTAATGTACACATAGATATAAATGTATTTGTTGAAAAATCAGAGATAGATTTGTAAAACCGTGTGAGATAAAGTTAAAACCTAACTGCAAANAACGAATTAAAAAACATTGAACAGATTCAAATTAAAAAGGCGCATAGCAATAATAAGTCAATTACCACTAATTCCAATCTAATAAAAAACAAAGAAATACTATATGACAATGAAAATACTCCAATTAACATATCTCATGAATTAAATATATCACAGCACAAACAGGCCATACAATTATTAAAAAAATACTTATATTTATTTACATCAGACGCATCTAATATAAAATCAGCAAATATAAAATCGTGCGAGATAAAGTTAAAATCTAACTGCAAAAAGACCCAAAATTTCATGTCCCCCATAAAGTATCTTCACAACAAAGAGATGAGCTCAAAACACAATTAGATAAATTAAATAAAGCCGATATTATTCGNAATCAGCAAATGTAAAACCGTGCGAGATAAAGTTGAAACCTAACTACAAAGACCCAAAATTTCATGCCCCCCATAGAGTATCTCCACAACAAAGAGACGAACTCAAAACACAATTAGATAAATTAAATAAAGCCGATATTATTCGTCCAATAATATCTAAATTTGCAGCACCAGCCTTTTTAGTCAAGAAAAAGGAAAAGGGTTCATACAGACTAGTAGTATCCTACAAAGAACTAAATGAAAGAGTCGAGACAGACCAATATCCCATACCCAGAACTTCTGACCTATTAAGAGCTCTAGAGGGAGCTACATATTTTATCTCTTTAGATTTAAATAGTGGTTTTTTCCAACTTCCTGTTAGAGAGGAAGACTAACATAAGTTAGCTTTTACATCGGTTCACGGGCTAATGACTTTTACTAGATTACCTCAAGGTTTTAAAAATAGTAGTGCTATNAAAGAACTAAACGAAAGAGTCGAGACAGACCAATATCCCATACCTAGAACCTCTGACCTATTAAGAGCTTTAGAGGGAGCTACATATTTTACCTCTTTAGACTTAAATAGTGGTTTTTTCAACTTCCTGTTAGAGAAGACCAACATAAGTTAGCTTTTACATCGGTTCATGGGCTAATGACTTTTACCATATTACCTCAAGGTTTTAAAAATAGAAGTGCTATTTTTCAAAGAAATTTAAATGAGACCTTTTCTGTACTATTATACAAATCTATAGTTATTTACATTGACGATCTCGAAAAAATTTCAATAAAGCACTTGTAAATTTGGAAAAAGCATTTAAAATAATTGATTTATTAAACCTTTCTCTAAAAACAACTAAATGTCACTTTTTCAACAACAAAATACAATTACTTGGTCACATAATATCTCGAGACGGTACAAAACCCACTGATACTAACACAAAAGCAATTACTGAATTTAAACAACCGAAAACTCAGAAAGATGTTAGGTCATTTATAGGTATGTGTTCATATTACAGAAAACACGTAAAAGATTTTGCGAAAATAGTTCACCCACTCACTGAATTTACTAAGGGGGACACTAAAAAAATTATATGGAACGATGATCAATCCTTTAATCAGTTAAAACACATTTTAACTTTTAAACCAGTACTAAACCATTTTATTGACGAATGAGAAGTTTACCTAACTATAGACGCTTCGTTATTAGGTGTAGGAGCATGCCTTGAACAATGCGATAAATATAACATACTACATCCAATTGGATACGCCTCTAGAAAACTATTAAAAAACGAAAAAACTAACTCGTCCACAACATTAGAACTATTAGGACTATGTTTCGGCATTACATACTTTCGGGAATACTTATGGGGAAGACATTTTTTTTGTATTTTATGACAATATCAGCTTACAATATTACACAAACTTGAAAATACCATCGGCTAGAATAGCTCGACTAACGCTAAAATTGTTAGATTTCAATTTCGAAATAATCTACAAAAAAGAAAGGAGAACAGAGTCGCTGACGCTCTTTCTAGAAACCCCATTAATAAAATTGATATTCAAATTTATAATGATAACTTAAATATTGACTTAGCGGATATAAAAAGCCAACAAAATAATGACCAATTTTGTTCCCAAATTATAAAATCAATCAACAACATTCAAATTGATCAAATCCCAATTAATATTAAAAGAAAATCTAGACAATTTTTGATAATAAACGACATATTACATTACAAACACTTTAAATCTCCAAATAATATCAATTATCCATTNCCACAACATTAGGACTATGTTTCGGCATTACATACTTTCGGGAATACTTATGGGGAAGACATTTTACTGTATTTTGTGACAATATCAGCTTACAATACTACACAAACTTGAAAATACCGTCGGCTAGAATAGCTCGATTAACTCTAAAATTGTTAGATTTCAATTTCGAAATAATCTACAAAAAAGAAAGGAGAACAGAGTCGCTGACGCTCTTTCTAGAAACCCCATTAATAAAATTGATATTCAAATTTATAATGATAACTTAAATATTGACTTAGCGGATATAAAAAGCCAACAAAATAATGACCAATTTTGTTCCCACATTATAAAATCAATTAACAACATTCAAATTGACCAAATCCCAATTAATATTAAAAGGAAATCGAGACAATTTTTGATAATAAAACGACTAATGACATAATTCATGTCAGAAGAATGAAACCATACATTAATAGATAGAAAAAGTAGGCAGATTAGAATACGTTTAAAAAAAAAAAAAATAAAAATAATAATAATAATAACAAATAATACTATAACAAGATATAATATAATAAAATATACATACATACATATATATATATATGTATATATATACATAAAAACCGTTTATCTGAAAGGCCTCCTCACAACAATAATTATATGGCACCATACGTTTTAACCATTTTTACCATCTTATTACGCTCAGCTATCATAGTATTATCGAGTAGGGCACCTAATATAACAAAAAAAGAGATACGTAATATACCTTTTTTTTTTATAATCTTATAAATACACGCAAACGCTAAACAAATAGAAATGATCATACTCTTCCACCCATCCAATATAATTATTATATACCTACTTATCAATAAACTTTTATTCACAGGTTTTTTCTTTCTCTTCCCTTCCACATCATTACTATCACAATTTCCTTATATTATATATAACTACTTATCAATAAACTTATATACACAGGTTTTTTCTTTCTCTTCCCTTCCACATCATTACTATCACAATTTCCTTATATTATTTGTAACTATTTGTTCATTTATTTATATATAGATATATTTTTTTTTTTTTTTTTTTTTCTTTATTTATTTATTATATAATACAAATAATCAACATGCTCAAAGACTCTCTGTTTATATTCTTTACATTTTGCACAACTACAAACAAATGTATAGCTTATGATTGTGGTGGATCACAAGTCTACATCACATCTTTCAACAGCTTAGAAGTGGACGACTGTGACATACCAAAGTGGACGACTGTGACATACCAACGCCCGTCGAAATCTAACACATGCGAAGAATAAAACTATAACACATGCGAAGAATAAAACTATTACAGAAAGCAGAAACACACCCCGTATATTTTTTTAAACATATTTTATTTCCATCAACATAGAGTGTACTACACACCTCTAGGAAATATAATATTCTCCTCAAAAATTGAAACCAGCTACCACACTATCCTGGTCTTACGAAAATGCAGATAACTTCATGATGGTCGGAATTTACATTCCAGNTGTGACATACCAACGCCCGTCGAAATCTAACACATGCGAAGAATAAAACTATTACAGAAAGCAGAAACACACCCCGTATATTTTCAAACATGTTTTATTTCCATCAACATAGAGTGTACTACACACCTCTAGGAAATATAATATCCTCCTCAAAAATTGAAACCAGCTACCACACTATCCTGGTCTTACGAAAATGCAGATAATTTCATGACGGTCGGAATTTACATTCCGGAAATAATCAATGCACTACTAAAACACCTCATGTACCCGCATCAAACTGAAACGGCCTAGAAAAATCTAATAAGACAGACAATTGGTCATGAAGTAATAAATCAAGGATTTGATAATAGGAATATTATAAGCGAACAAACAATAAGTAATATGGTCCATTCTGAATTTAAAAAAATTTGGGGGAGGTTTACTGGGATAGGATATGTCGTATCCGGTCTCTTAGGAATCTTTGTGATAAGCAAAGTTTCTTTAATGACTATCAACACCATACTGAATATATTCATCCTATACAAAACATTTGGTTGGAGCATTAAATTAATAGCGGGCATTTTCTCCAACATAAAGCATTATCTAGTGCACATTGAGAACTCGAACAAATACGAGGCTGTTTCTACTACTGTCACCAAGAAGACAACGGAAGAAAAACACCCTACTCCACAATTGTATCCAGATTTTCGAAGAACTTCAATATAAAATAAGTATCCACCACACATCACATGCATATGGACCCCCTTTTATATTATATTCATTTTATTCTCTCCCCTTATTAATACTACAGTTTAATATAAAATATTGATTTCTTTTTAAAATAATATGTATTGTTATGAGGGCATAACAAAAAAAAGAGACTAGGGTGGATGTAATGATATGCTATATAAGCTATCATATATAATGTAAATAAAATGTAATGTAATGTAAGAGATAAGTCAGACAATTAAAAACAGGAACGAAAATTAAACATATACTTTCAATTCCATATTTTCTATCAAATAAAATATATCTTAATGCGATATTTACTAATTGTAAATTGTGCTATTTAAGCTATCATGTGTAGTCAAAATAAAATGTAACATCAATAATGTAAAATAATTATAATAATTGATAGCCATTAAGTATTAGATTAAGTTGTTAGCATTAACCAGATTAAGGAAACACGCACACACACATAGGTATCCAGTCATAAGGAGGCCGGTCACTTCTAATCAGCCCAGTGCAGGTATTGTTCCCGTTCCTTTTGGAAAGATGATCACAAATGAGTATAAAGACTACGCAGAGATTCTTACAAAAGCACGGGAACCTAGAACAGTGGTGTATGATTAAAAATTAATAAAAAAAAAAAAAACAATTGGTTCATTAAAATCTTTTTATTTAATTCAGTCAAATTTATCAGATTCAACAGATCGATTGCTGCATGAAGGAGAAAGGTTATTCAACTTATAATTAATTTACATATGTGAATCAATTTTATATAGTTAGGCTGACCATATTTCTGATTACAACACTATCTATAATGAATATTCAGTAATCAGTGTTCACTTATTAAATTAACGATTTCTAAAAATATTAATAATTCTTTTTTTGTTATTAATTATATTAAATAATGAAAGTACACAATGCAACTTTAGTTGCATTATTTTTCTGTGATTATATATTAATTTTTGAAGTCTTAAATAATTATTACAATCCTCGTGCTTGTAATAAATGATACTACATGACAACAGTGGTACGCCAATGTCCAAATGGCAACGTCGCGAACAGATGCAACACGTTTCTATTCCGCGCTGTATAGTAGCATAGCTGATAAACGCTGCATGTTAACAATACAAATGTGCATTTTTCTAATGCTCGTTCTTTTGTTTTCTGCCTTGATTGTGTGTTACAATGCAAGTATTAACATAATTTTCATTCAAATTTCACTGTTTTTTTATTGTACCGAAGAAGCGGTTAGTTTACCAAGAATTATCGATAACCATTTCGCGTAGAGACGGTCCATTGACAGCAATCAAATGCCGAATAGCTCAAGGACGATTCTAGGTAACGTAATTATTCGCAATAGGTTTTAAATATAATTTTAAATATTTATTGTACAGTAAAGTCAAGTGTGTATTATGTATGTTGGAACGCGTGAATGATTGTTTCCAACATTATTCTGTGTCTGGTTTCACTTTATTTTACGTGCGAAAAAATACCTAGTTAGTCGATGTTGTTAAAAATGATTAGACAATTATTAACCGTAATCA